CTGGTTGCCCTTTACCAAGCTGGACACAAGCAGCACAATGAAGTCTCTCTTGAACATATCTCCACTGTCTCCTCTCTCAATAATGGCCGCTGGCATTGTATTCGTCACCGGAGAACCTTTTGTTATTCCCCACCTCTGTCTCCAAGCTGCCAACAATTTCTTGTATTCAACAGATTCATTCTCAGAAGTAGCCTCAATAACAGGGATTTTCCCTTGGGGAAGGTTCATTGTGCTGTGTACATCATCCTCCGACAGTTGCATGTCATTATTTTCCAACATCAGTATGCACTCATAGACATCAAACCTTTCGACAAGATACCTAGTTAGTCTGCTATCCCAGTCAAATATGGTCAAGTTTAACATAGCAGCCAACCCAATATCTTGAACTGCTCTGCGTTGATCTGGTGATAGAGACGAAATGAGGGTCCGAAAATACTTTGGTGACATTCTGGTTTGTAGATATTGCATTTTACTCATCTCACTCTTAACTGCAGATTTCTTTATCCTCTTGTGTATTTTCTTCTCAACATTGGGGCTTGTTGTTGCTTTGCGCTTGGGCAACGATGGTCCCTGGTCCTTTGATCCCTGAGCAGCCGGTTTTGATGCAGTTGTGTTTGTATTAGGTGATCCCTGAGCAGCTGGTTTTGATGCAGTTGTGTTTGTCTTAGGAGCAGGAGCAGATTGTTTGGTGGCTTTAGCTCTCTTTGGTGATTTTGCTGTTGATTTGCGTTTGGGTGCCCTTTTTTTGTGCCTCTCTTCCACCTGAACAGGTGGTTCGGGTTCATTTTCAGGTGGTCCATTTTCCTGTCCATCTTCTTCTTGCACAGTTTGTTCTGGTTCTGATGGAATGGTTGGTTCATTTTCAGGTGTTGGTGGTTTATCTGCAGGTTGTCCTGTGGCAACAGGTGTTGGTTGAGATGGTGGCGTTGGTTTGGCTGCTTGTGAGTCCAAGACAGCCTTGGTTCTTTGCTTTCTTGTGGCTTTCTTCATCTGTATAGGTATGGTATGCAACAGTATGATAAGTTTTTAATGATGAATATTTTATAAAACAAAATGCGACACACATATGAGCACTTTCAGTTCATATACAATGCACTTTCAGTTCATATACATTATACTTTCAGTTCATATAGAAATCACTTTCAGTTCATATACAATGCACTTTCAGTTAATATACAATACACTTTCAGTTCATATACATTACACTTTCAATTCATATACAATGCACTTTCAATTGAAATAATATTTCAGTTCATATACAAATCACTTTCAATTGAAAACAATATGAGACACACATATAAGCACTTTCAGTTCATCTACGATACACTTTCAGTTCATATACAATATACTTTCAGTTCATATACAATACACTTACAATTGAAATAATATTGTAGTGTTGATGAACATTTTTAAAACAAAATGCGACACACATATAAGCACTTTCAGTTCATATACAATACACTTTCAGTTCATATACAATACACTTTCAGTTGAGAATAAATGCAGTTTAATTTAAGAAGAAATAGAGTTTCATTTGGATATAGTAGTTTCATATGTAATATATGGGACCACACATTCCGTATTATTATACACACTTTGCAGTTTTATTTTATATACAAACATCTGGGACCACATTACATGAAAAAGACAAACATGTGTTTCTTATTTAGGGTTTACAGTAATATTATAGTTTTGTTGACTGCATGTGTTTCTTATTTAGGGTTTACAGTAATATTAAATGCATTATAGTTTCTCAATGCATGTTTGTGATGCAAAATATGAATGTTGCTTTCGGAATGTCTGAAAAAAAACTAGAATGTATGTACTGTAGAACATATTTTTCTTTGTAGGTAAATATAACATCACATTATATACAATAGTATTATTACCTTCTCGTTGAAACTGAAATATGCAGAAATACGAAGAAGAACAGCGATGGAGACGAGAGGTAAAAAATGGCGGGTGAAGTCTAAGCTTGGAGAGAGTGCTGATGGTAAGTGTGGGTTGTTCGAGAACAAAGTGACGACAAGACTTCCCTTTTTCGTTTTTATATTGATTTTTTTTTATTAAAAAAAAAAAAAAAAAAAAAAAAAAAAAAAAAAAAAAAAAGGAAACAACGTGCTGAAAGTAATCGACGGCGTTAAAAGGCGCCGTTTCATTTAATTAATGAAACGGCGTCGTATATGGGCTGCGGTGCATAATCGATTATGCACCGCGGTCTATAATATAACAACTGAGAGAATATGGTATGGGCTTAGATTCAGGAATTGAGTATAAACAGTTGTCGGAATCGTCCTCTATGGGGCCTATACTGGACTCACACTGAGCGTGTGAACATGGGTAAGGCGTGGACTTTGGATAATCCAAATATTCTATTATTGAAATCAATCAAATACAATGAGAAAACTCAGAATGACTCTAGGGGACCACCTTGGGCCAGGGCGGGGCCCATTTCCGTCATTCCTTAGCATGGGCGATGATACTGCATTAATCATATTTGTTTTCTTGTAATGTGCAAATATTCTACCACGGAAAATTATTCTATATGGATCCGAATCTACAGATACACAATTTACATACTAAATATTCATAATTTTTTTAAAAAAAATTTACAATTTATGATGATCATGTATTGTATTCACAAATTTTTAAAACTTAAAAACACAATTTATATTTTAGAAGCTCACAATTTCAATATTAAAAATACATAATTTAAAACTATGATCCACCTTGTAAGATGAACATTGGTCCATGGTGTAACAACTGCTACCATACCCCACTCTTCATGTTGCCTAGATATTTCTAAGATCTTTTTTTTCTTTCAAAGATATTTCTAAGACCATGCTCTCTCTCTCTCTCTCTCTCTCTCTCTTTTATTACTTTATTTTATTTAATTGATAATTATAATGTTTTGATATATTATGTTTAATAATATTATAATATATAACACATAAATGCATAATATATACACACACAATTACAATCCTAATTATTACTTTTATGTAAATAACATTATATTTTTATGCTATGTTTGGCAGAGCTTATTTAGAAACTTATAACTTATTTTAATATACTAATTAGAAGTCATGTTTGGTAATGTTCCCAACATAAACTAGTAACTTAAAATAAGAGTTTTTTTGAACTAGGTAACGTTTCAAAAATAAGCTAGTAGCTTCATAACTTTTTTCCATCTTTATCTTTATTATTTTAAATAAATGGCATCCTTTATCCCTCAATTAAAACCCTTTTGCCATTTTCTCTTCTCTTATATTATTATTATTATTATTATTATTATTATTATTATATGTAAGACCTCTATTGAGATGAAGGAAATTCGCAACAATATTGCTACTTCATTATGGGATGTTAGATCATGATTATGCTAATAGTTTTATTTCAAAATGTTAAATTTTAATATGTAAACAAACCTATTTAAATTTTATGAAGATCGTCATTTTTAGTCTTTTTGCATTTATGAGCTTATCAAAAAATTAATTTTACCAAACACTTTTAAACATAATCAAGTAATTTAACAACTCTTCAATTTTCAACTTTCAGCTACTTTTTAGTTAAGCTTACCAAACATAGTCATATTAGACATGAGCATCTAATTTATTTTTAATAGAACATTTTGTATTTCTGAAATTACTAATTTTTTTTATCCTCTATTAAAGTGGTCATTTTCAAGTCCATATATGACCTTGACATTTAAAAAGAAAAAATTATAGATAAAATCTCCAAGAATCCATGCTAAGATTTTCTCCTACAAGTAGGAAGATTTAGTAGTATGGGTGGTGAGGTTTCTACATACTTTTTTTTGAGAATAGGTTTCTACATACTTATCCGTCCAGTTTCTTTTCCATAGCATGCATGTTTATATTTCTCTTAGCTTGTTTTGATCTTTTATTTTACTTTCATTTCAGTATTTTCTATGTAAACTATCCCTAGCCTCCTACTTAGCTGGCCAGCTGGGTAGCTTTACGTACCAATTGAAGTATTGTGAAGTCTACGGAACATTTGTGTTACATATTGCTATGAAATGTGAAAGATCAGAGTTGCTATGAAAAAGAAAAAAGTAGAAGTAGACAATATTATGTAATGTACCATTGTACCTCTCAATAAAGTAAAATAAAAAAGGAAATAAAAAAATTTCTCTAGGGATATGATTGTAGAACAAAATTCAGAATATGCCATTCATGAATTCAACTCCTTTTTTCTATTTTGGTAAGGGAGGAAAAGGCCGGGGACCATATAGCTCAAGGAGTTTTGAACCAGTAAGCCCGCAGCAGAATAGAGAGAGAGAAGCTAGCTAGCCTACAAAAGGGTCAATTTCAGTGTAGAGTTGGAGAGAGAAGTTTGGATGAAAACTAAACTAGACTGAGTAGATCTTAATGAGCTTCAATTCTCATACCGATCCTTAGGAATAACCAGAAATCCCTAGGATTAAAACTGCACCCAATCAGCATTCAGGAAACAGGATGACCTTTCCCAGCACCACCAATTAGAAAGCAGATAAGGCGTGTGTGTGGGCCCAAAAGTGCATTTGGGGACCATCCCACTCTTCACTATCCAACTAAATAAACTCCCAAAAAGAGCATCCTAGAAATGACAAATCATATTTGAATTTCATTCCATAATAAAGGATCTTATATGTTTATTACTTACCCCAAAAAGGGGTAAAATGCCCGTGCGCACAAGGAATCTGTCTACTTTAGACATAATTCTAATATTGTTGTCGCCGAAATTCGAATCTTGGTCTCTTACCTCAAATACTGCTCACTAAATCATTGAGCTAAGCCCATGCGGGTCTTATATGTTTATTATTGTTACGTTGACTGGACATGACTTATATTAAACTAACTTTTTTGTATATGTTATAACTTTTGAAAATTAATGATTATTTTTCAGGAGTCATTTTCTTTCTTTGCAAATGGATCCTAATTCAAAAGAGAAAGAAAATAAAAAGTGCATTTCGTGGGCCAATAAATAATTGAGATGTCCTTTCAGATCTGTTGCAGCCTATACTATACATAAAGGCCAAACTCAACATTTTTCATAAGCCTTTCCTTTCGGCCTTAATCATCAGCTCCCAATTAATTCAAAATTGTTGGAACTGCTTTCCAGCCAAAACTTTGATCGATCTTAATTTCATTTCCCAAAAAAGATCTGACTCAAAAAATTTACGTACTGTTTAATTATTTTGATTGATATATACGTAGAGTCAATGTCTGCTCTGAATTAACTGTACTAATAACGTATGTAGTCTATGGTTTGTATAGTAGCTAGCTTAGCTTGGGATAGAAATTAAAATTGAGGGAGCTGAGGGTGCAATGGAAGGCAAGCATAAGGCAGCAGCGAGAGCTTGCGATTATTGTATTGGTAAGAGGGCACGATGGTACTGTGCGGCGGATGACGCTTTCCTGTGCCAGGCCTGTGATTCCTCGGTGCACTCCGCCAACCCTTTGGCCCGAAGGCACGCCAGAGTTCAGCTCAAGACTTTGTCCAATATAGAGCCGCCGTCGTGGCACCGAGGCTTCACCCGAAAGCCTCGTACACCTCGTCACGCCCACGGGAGGTACAATAATAATAATTCAAAACCAGTAGTTCATCATGACGTTGTCAAAACCCCTCTCCACCTCAGCATCGTCCCGGTCCCGGAGATGTGCAGCGACGAGAATTATTCCCATGACGACGAGAAGGAGGACCAACTACTGTTGTACCGCGTCCCCATTTTCGACCCGGTCGTGGCGGATATCTGCACCACACTCAATATTACGGATTATGATGCGGCGGCGGCAGCCTTTAACCAATCCAAGGTATGTATATATATATCTTGATGATGATGATGATGATATGAAATTCAAAGTTTAATTAACACTGGGATGGAATGCTGCAGTGTGCAGGAGGAGGAGGACACGGACACCACAAAAATTGGGACGGAAAGAGTAGTACTACTACTATGCCGCCCACGACGACGGAAATGGAAATGGAGCTTGCGGAGTTTGCAGCTGACGTAGAGAGCTTGCTAGGAAAAGGGCTAGATGATGAAGAGGAGTCGTCGTTTGACATGGAAGGTTTGGGGTTTTTAGGGGGTAATAACGTCGAAGAAGAGAAAGCGTCAACGATGATGGAGTTTAGCCGCCGCCATGAGAAAGTAGTAGTGAAGGTTGAGGAAGAGGACGCACCCGCACCCGCATGCGAAGCAGCTGATGATGATATTTTCATGGCGGCTAATGCTAATCATCACTACACTAGTAGTAGTAGTTTATGTTTTGATACCCTTGAGCTAAAGTTTGATTATGATAATGATTATTATTCACCAAATAATGAAAAAGAAGAAGAAGGAGAAGAACTATTAAAAATGCGTAACAAGTCGACGATTTTGTTGAATCTTGATTATGAAGCTGTTATTTTGGCTTGGTCTGACCAGAGGTGTCCTTGGATTACTGGCCAACGCCCGGAGATGAACTCCCATCACGGCTGGCCTGATTGCATCATGGTACGTATACTACTACTACTCCCATCAATCTAGTGCATATCTAATCTAAAACTTGATTTTATCTAATTATTAATTTAATTTAATTAATTAGCAACGGGGATGTGGAAGTGGAACAATCCATGCCGCCGCGTACGATGGAGTCGGAGACATGGGAATTACGTTCGGACAGGCCGCAATAGCAGACGACGTATGGGTAGGGAGAGAAGCAAGGGTATCCAGGTACAGAGAGAAGCGACGAACCAGACTGTTCTCTAAAAAAATAAGGTACGAGGTGAGAAAACTGAATGCAGAGAAGAGGCCGAGGATGAAAGGGAGGTTTGTTAAAAGGGCCAATTTTCCATTGCTCGATCAACAAATAGGCCGCCCCGCATAGTACGTATAACTGTCATACGCTGCTACTTTAATTTTGGTACTTACATCTTTGTTTAATTGTTTGTGTAATTCGGAGTTTGAATAAGTGACAATCATGCTCATGCTGTAACAATTTAGTGACGTTGACATACCATTTTTACAGGTGTCTTACTTTTTTACTTCCATCAATTCTTCAAGTACAAGTAGTAGTACGTAGTAGATCACTACATCAGATCTATATCTAGCATAATATACGGAGTAGTAATATAATATTACAATATGCAAATCTAATAAGAGTTAATAAGTTAGGCCCTAACCGAAACTAAAAAATGTTGGTATAATTGTTGGTTGAAACAAATGGTTCATATTATTTTTCTTACTTTACCTTATGTTATATCATTTACTTTTCTTAAATATCCTTGTATTTCGTTAGTGTAAATTTTAATAACGAAATATTTCGTTAACTATTTATTATTCTTAACTTAATTTTCATAAAAAAGGTTATCCCGAAATATAAGGCAGGCAATAAGTTATAATTCTCCAAATTTCTTGCTCATAATTCATCTTCCCTGAAACAATTGAACTTATTAAACATTTGCGCACAAGAATCCCTGACTGCTACGGGTGATACTAAATCCTTGATCGTGACAAATTTCACCTCTATTACTAATTGAGCTACCCATGCAAGCAGAGTAAGAATAGATTGATACTAGTAATTGACGTTGTTGCATTGTAATGTAATGTGGGCCTGTCATGCCATTAAATTGGGAACTTGGATTTTTCCTATGTAATGGTCCATATGATGATTGGTATTTTTTCGATATAAGGAAAATACAAATGGCTCCGTGACCTTTTCGGCAGAAGAAGAAGAAAGTGACAGACTCATCACTTTTCTTCCAGTAAAAATCTCATTTGCTTAACATTTTCTCTCTAAAATATTAATATTAATTGTCCCTCCCTCCCTCTTGTTCCCGTTTCTAGAACGCCAGTGGTTGGCATGATGAGTATCATTTGAATTCACAGGCAAGCTTTTTCCAAGCAATAATAAGTACACTATTTCTATATTGGGATGGCAATTTCAATCCGTTCCGTGAATATCCACTCCGCAAGAATCAAATTTTTTAGATGATAGTGAGTGTAAAAAATATAAGGTGGGTTAGGTGATGGATGTAGCCAACCCATTGCCATCCCTATTTCTATACCTTCAGTCAAGAAGAAGTAACATGTTAATGTCAAACTATTTCAATTGTACAATATATCCATCCATAGTGATACCTTACACCATATATAGAGCAAGACAAGACTAGTCTCAAAATACATTTATGCAAAGCCAGTCATGCCCACATTTGAGCTATTACGGTTTGCTTTGTGAGCTGGTTGAGTAGTAGCCTTAGTGAAATACATGTAATAGTACACGTTGATGATCATTGTTGCTACCACAAAGACAGCTCCAGCAACGAATACACCTTTCCGAAGTGTTTCACAAGAAAAATTTTCTGCCAATATCATATCTCGATACTTGGTGTGATAAGCATTTTTCTTAGCACCAGCAACAAGACATGCTTCTGCCACCACAAAACTCAGCCTGCACATGTATGCATTCATTATTCTTAATTTCAACAATAACTTGTGTATGTTGTATGATGGGTGAAAGAATGAAAGAAAGAGATACAAGAAATTGTTCCAGGAAACAGTTTGTAAGTTAGCAATAACCACCATGATCCATATCAAAGAACAGAATTACCATGTTACGGCATTATTTTTTATCATGCTAAGACTCCAATCAGTTTGCCCATTTATTTGTAATGCCTATTTGGCATTTCCCTCAAGTCCTTAACCAAATCTTCTAATTCATGAGTCAAACATTGCTAAACTATCCAATCCAGGTGTGGTTTATAACCCTGTTAAGGCCCATCACTGCACAAAGAGCTTTTGATGTCGGAAATGGGTTGTGTAACAGGCTATAAGGTGGCCAATACGCTTATAAGATATGCTTCTTCCTCTAAAATAGGAAACACGTGCAAAATACCCTGGGAGATTTATAGGATAACTTGTTAACATAGTATTTTTAATCTTACTTTACCTTCACTAAGGGTGGGGGGAGATTTAACAAAAACAATGTCACTTTCCAAATAAATAATGAAACATATATATGTACAATAACTAGGAAACTTATATGATATGTACAATGGAAAAAGAACTTAGGGTGTGTTTGGTTCGCACATGGGAATCGAAATCGGAATGAGTATCAAATACTTGGTAATGGCAATGGGTTTTGGTGAAAGTATTTAACATGTTTGGTAGTAGGGTGGAATGAGAATGGTTACTAATAGTAGTGCTTGAGAATGGATAAGAGAATGAAACCCTTATTTTATTTGGGTATGGGTTTTTCAATTGATGGGGTATTCGAAACCCATAGTAGTGTTCTAAAGACCTATCAACCAAACAATAACAATCACTTTCATACCCATTCCTATGGGCAAAACCCATCAACCAAACACACCCTTAGTCTTTTTATTCTTATTTTATCTTGGCTGGGAGGCATCGAAAGACAACCAAGTCAGTTTTCAATTAAATAATGAATGCATAGAGGCTGGATCATGATAGTAAATTTTTTTTAAAAAAAAATGAAACAACAAAATTAAAAAAGGGACTAGCAAGACCTCAACTTTCAGATGAATTGCAAAAGAGAAAGGTGGAAATTAGATTCTCACCATGAAGAAATAAAATAAATAATTGTCCAGGCACGATTTCCACCAGGAGATAAAGGTCTTCCAAAACACATGCACTTTGTCACACCCATTACCAATGACTCACTTGAGAGAAGAAAGAGGAAAGCACCCACCCCATATCCAGTGGCAACATCAGAACTATAAACACAGTATGTACGATTGGATGTGGTATCGTCATGCAGAGTACCCTGCCAACAAGAAACAATGCTCACAATTTAAAGGCATACACCTATACAATTTAAAGTTCATATTTTTTTTTCTTGGTTAATCAATCAACATACAAGCAAGAAGGTGATAGAACAATTGCTTAGCAGATAAAAAAATAAAATTATAGTCTCTCTTGATTTAGATCTTGTACAGTGGCTAGGTGGATACTGCTAGCTAGTATTTAAATCATTTTGAAACTATAAGCAAAAATTTCAAGCAAAAATCCCACATCAAGCCCTGAGAAAAGAGAAGCACTGAATCCAAATCAGTTTCTAGCCCTTCATGTACTGTAAAAAAAATCTAGCCTTCAATTCAAGTTAGAATGTGCAAAAGCACTCAAGAATCCATTCCCTGAGAAACAATAATCAATCAAGACTTACATTTAAAGCTAACAATACCTAGAGCTTAAATAGCAGATGATGGGTAACTAAAAAGCTCAAACCTTCATCACAAGATTACAGAGGCACCATGACAAGTAACTTTAAAAAATTGTACGGAAACACTATACTCCATAATGGTGTAACAGAACTACCGCATTCAGATCTTAAAGAGGAGATGTTTTAGCACAGTAGAACTCAAATTAAATCAGGAAAATCAAATAAATTACTCGTGATCTAACAAGCATTGACATCATTTTCACTTGAGCAATCAGATATCTAAAGAGAGAGAGAGAGAGAGAGAGAGATAGGGATATTTGTACAGTGCTACGGCGGCGCTCGGCGGCAATGGCGAATCCGAAGGCGGTCAAGCTCAACACAATGGCCAGCAAATGAACGAGGGACGATCCCTTTCCTTCTCCCATTACTGCTGTTGGCTTTAGGGTTTTGAAGAAAGAGACGAGAGTGTGAGTGCGTGGGTGATTTGCGGGGATAGGGATACTACTCACTCCTCACTCACACAGTACAGTGGAGTGGCAACTGGCAAAGCCAAAATCAAAAAGCCGTGAAAACGCGACTTCGTTGAGCTTTACAAACACGCACCGATAAAGTTAGCTATCTCACGCTCCGGAGATAAAGAAATGGAAAGCCTCTACTGACTACTTGACCAGTGAGTCTACACTCTACTGTAGTGTTGGCCCAGTTGTAATTGGATTCCTTGCGGCCTTGGTGAACGGGATTGGATTTATTATGTCGTTTCCAAAACTAATCTGCCACTTTTTTTTTTTTTTTTTAATAGGAAAATGATCCATTACACCCCTAACTTTATACGATAAATCAATTAGATTCATAAATTTTTAAAAGTTGCAATTAAATATATTAATTTGTTATTTTCGTGCATTTAGAGTTTAGACACAATAGTAGGTTAATTACCTATAATAACGGGTAAGTTACTGACGTTGCATTTTTCAAATAAATAATAATAATAAATTAATATAAAAGAGAGATATATTTTTATAGTGGTTCGGCAAAACATGTCTACTCCATCCTTCTCCTTATAAACCCTTAAGGATGTTTGCACTATCTTAATAGTACAAAGGACGTTCAAGCTTTGAACAAAAAGTCGGCCTTGAACTCCACCAGACTTTTCGACTATAACCAGTCTACTCCACCTCTTTCTACTTCTATCGTGTATAGAACACAAGGGTTGAATAATCAATTTTCTTCTTTCTCTAACTAGAGAGTTCGATTTTGAATGTTTTGATCTTCACGAATAAGCAGAACAAGCCTCTGAAACTGTATATGAAATTTGAAGTTTGGATCTCTCTCACTGATCACTAGATGTGAGCTTTTGAATGATTTTGAACACTTACAAAATTATTAGAAAATGACCATCATCTTCTATCTCCTTAAGTGAAGGTATTTATAGGCATTTTAAAAAATGTTCGTTGGAGGGAAACCAATTTCCAACGTTTATTACCTAGCAAGTAAAGATTATCGGGTAATCCGACTGTTAGTTGAGCTTGTCAGATTTTTCAGTCGTCGGTGACTTATTTTGCTCTGAACATATCTTTTTGCTCTCTACAAAATGTCTTACTTTTACAGCTCGTTTGGTTCGCTGGAAAATATTTGAAGGGAAATGGAATTGAAATTCCATGGAAAATGAATTTCAGGAAAATTGATTCAATTGTTCGGTTGGTAGAAATAAAATTACTGGGAATATGAATTCCATTGTTTGGTTGGGTTTAGAAAGATAAGGAATAATGAATATAAAGACCAATATGCCCTTAAAAAGATGAATGAATAAATAGGTGCCTATGTAATTAAGAAATTTTCATAAGGGTAAAATGGTCCACTCATGTTATTTTTCTTCCCAATCCTTGTGGAAAACAAAATCCCACCCCTTTGCAAAGAATTCATTTTCCTCAACTTTGAGGAATCCATTTTCCAATGGAAAATGTTTTCCATCCAACCAAACAACATAAACCAACATTTTCCTTCACTTTGAAGAAAACATTTTCCATAGAAAATGTTTTCCATCCAACCAAACACCCCCTTAAAGAAAAATATTTATTGGGATGTGTTCATAGGACCCTCCTGTAACACCCCGTGTTACGGCCTTCAATCCCGGATTAATTATTAAATTAATCCCGTTAATAATAATTAAATATGATTTAATTCGGTTAGGTTTCCTTTAATTAATTAATAAAGGTCCACCATGAACCGTGGACCCTTGCCTAAATTAGAGTCCTAAGCCTATTAGGAATAAAGAAAGTAAACCCTTTACTATTCAGATTCTAATTAGGAATCCTAGACCTAGTTATCTATTAGGAATAAAGGAAGTAGGCCTTTTACTATTCAGACTACGATTAGGATTCCCTTTAATTAATTAATATGGTCCACTATGGACCATGGACCCTTATCCCTAAACTCAATCCTTAGTTCCAAAAGGAATAGAATTAGCAAGCCTACAATATTAGTTCCTAACCAGGACTCCTAAATATATAAATAGGGGACTTAAGAGGCACCTAGAACCCCCCACCACAATAAACGTTCCACCACCCCAAAGTGCTCCAAGAATCCCCTTAGAAGAAATCAAGAAAGCAAGAAAGCTTAAAGAAAGACCCTTCATAGCCAAGGAATTAATTAAGATTAAGAGGTAACCCATGTCTCAACAAAACCTATTTTCATAGTTATGATTCCCCCTTAGGGTTTCCCCATATTATTGTGTATTAATGATTGGTGACGATTATTATTAATGATTGATATAATGATTCCATGAGGAATCTTGATAATCTTGATGTTGGGAGATTCTTGGTAATTATGGTGTTCTTGATGCTTACATGGGGATCTTGATGATTAATTGGAATTCTTGATGATTATGTGATGTTCTTGATAATTGTGTGTTGTTCTTGATGCTTATGCGTTATTCTTACCGAATCTTGTAATTAGAAGACGAACCGTATTCTTGTTGATATAAAAGCGATTAGAACCCTAGGTTGTATCGTATGATATTATTCTTGGTTTATCGGGTGGGGAAATCGCATGTTGGGTGTTGATTATGTTTAGAAAAGCATGATAGGTTATGTGCCGTTCGTTTCTCGTATTTGATCCGTTAATTGTCTACGTGCTGTCGTTAATTGCGTTGTAAAGTGTCTAAGCATGGTTTCGGGTTCCACAACGGTTCCCGGGGCGAAATTATGTGATAAGAGCCAGTGGGGGGTAGGTGGGGGGGTGGGGGCCCGCCACCTACCCACGACCGGAAATAGTATATCCGGCAGTGGGCGGCCGGCGGGCGGGCAGCTGCCCGCCGGCGACCCGCTGCCCGGAACAGTATGTCCGGCGGGTGGCCCCCCACCCACCGGCTACCCGCTGGAAATTCCCCCAACCCGGGATCCCGGCTTCCCCGTTTGATGTTCCCCGTTCCCCGTGGTGTCCCAACGGACTCCGTTTATCGTGCCTATGTCTAGTTTGATGTTTCGGGTACCGTTCGCAGGTTTATGAGTCTATTATATTGCATGCTAGTTGAATTGGTATCCCGTTGACCTAGGTGGAAGAAGTATGAACCCCTTAGGACTATTCTTAGTAAGTGATGGATCACGCATAGGTTTTGTTATACGCTTTCTCCCCCTTCCCAATGTGTAATGTGGGTTGCATGTGCTTGCTATGTGTTATGTGTGTGTGTTACCCCAATTCGGTTGCGATCGGATTGGTTATCCTGAGCTGCGGTTCAGAAGCTGGCTGCAGTCAGATTTATACTCTTGGGCTGCGGTCCACTGTTTGGTTGCGATCAAACGTTTCTATACGAGCTGCGGTTCGTCCTTTTTCCTGGCTGCGGTCAGATGACATTCTCTTGGGCTGCGGTCCACCGTTTGGTTGCGATCAAACGTTTCTATACGAGCTGCGATTCGTCCTTTTTCCTGGCTGCGGTCAGATGACATTCTCTTGGGCTGCGGTCCACTGTTTAGTTGCAATCAAACACTATGATGAGCTGCGGTTCATCGGTCGGTTGCGATCGACCCCTCCGTGTTGCGATACGGGGCAGGGTGCTGCGGGGCCGTGTCAGAGCTATATGCGCTGACCCTCATGTATGGGCATGCGATTGGTCCTGTGGCGCCAACAAAGTGTGTGTTATGTGTTGTGACATGGACGAGTTGTGATTACGAGTGTCTTGGGGGATGTGACTATGGGATTTATATTGGGGATTGTTCATGTTGGGTTATGATCATTGTTTATGCTTTGCCTTATCTGCCTTATCTGTTGTGAACTGCATATGCTCGTTATAACTGTTGCTTGTGTCTGGCCTTATCTGTCGAGTCATTCCCGGTTTTAAAGCTAGAGTTCGTAGGATATATCTTCATGCTCAAAATGGTTTTCGTATATCTATATATATCTCTATATGTATTGTATTTCAACGCGTTGGAGTGGGTTACCAGCATCTCTCGCTGAACAGATATATTTGGCTTTCAGGCACAGAAGATTAAGTCACTGGAGTGCGCTAGAACTTAGAAGTAGATAGTTTCCCTTTTGGCCTGCGTGCCACGTTTACGTATTTACGCTTTGAGGATACTAGTTAGTTAGCCTGTGCACTTGGGTTCTCTAACCCAGGTGTGGCATAGCACCCCGAACGCTTGTATTTATATCTTGGGATTTAATAAGATTCTACCTTTATTATAAGTTTTAAATGTCTTGAAAATCTGGAGTGTTACACCTCCTTTGCCTTGGACACATTCACCTTAGGTTTTAAGGTTTCGAACTGTTAGGTCAAAGAATGTCTCGAGCAGTTCTTTTTGAACGGTTAACTTCGTTAACGTTTCGAACCTTAAACCTTTACAACCTCTCGGATACGAATGGTTGTCTTTACCATTCGATCCGCTTTTACTTCAAAATGTAGGTCTTTCCATCTTTTGACCTTTGCAACATTTCGGTTACGAATGGTTACCCTTACCATTCGTTATTCGTCTACTTCGAAAGGTAGGCCCTTCCACTATTCGGGTTTTGCAACATTTCGATATTGCAGTCTTTTACTCCTTGAATCTTCTTCTTCAGTCTTCAACTCTTGAAGTCTTTATCTCGAGCTATTTGAAAGGTAACCATTCAAGTTGCTATTCGAACGTTTTGTTGAGATAGACCGAAATAACCTTTCGAGTAATCATTCGAAATAATTTACTTAACCGAATTGTGACTTTTCGAGTTACTATACGAACTATTTGAATTTGAGCATAGACAATCTTAAGTCTAGAAGATAAAAACAAAATGGGGGGACTAAAATTCCTACATTTTGGTATCATCAAAATCTAAATACAAATGTTCCTAACATTTATTTTTCTATTATGTAAAGTAATGTTATGTCAGGGGCGGATCCATAAACTTTTTTCAGTGGGGGCGGACAATAACAAAAGAGAGAGTTTGAAGAAAAAAAATGAAACACTTAAGAGTATAGCCATAAATATTGTTGGATATGTGCGAAAAATAAAACACATCAAAACTTTATAAAAATATTAACAACAAAATATGAAACATAATTAATTTGATAAAATAATTGGAATAGAAAACACATTATTATTATATATGTGTGTGTAAATCTCACCATTAATTAATATTTATAAGTCATTAAGAAATTGTGTGTGTTGAAAATAAAATCCATAATAAAATTGTACATGTGTTGAATAAAATCACATGATAAGACTCAAATCTTGGCCATTCTTAAAACAAATCACACGCTTTGCCACCTGATCTAACCATCTCTGTTTAACTTTTATCTATTTTTTTTATACTTATACTAAAACCTGTACCACACACACGCACATATATATATACACCAGGGTTATATATGGGGTGGGGTGGGGTGAGTGGGGGGCAGTTGCCCCCACTGTCCCCATGCTAGATCCGCCACTGTGTTATGTTGATTTTTTTTATGCGTGTTCTTTAACTGTTAAGAAATATTCTTATTGTTATTATAGTCATTGGCAGCAGATTATTTGCAGCAATGCATTCCTCAAATCCAATTGCGCAAACACAAGAATACAATATTAGAAAATATGATATGGATCGGATGAGGTAACAATTTTAAATTTTCATAGTTTTTCATAGTTGATATGGATTAAGTTGATGTATAGACTAATAGTTTATTTGCTTGCTCCTTAGGATTTGTAGGAAATAAATTATGAAGTTAATGATGAATGTGATAATGTAGACAACTTGGATGTTGGTGTACAAAATGAACCAGTTAATGTCATATCGCGAGCATGATGGTTGTATACTTGGATAGTTGGATGATAGTTGAAGTGCAATTGGTTTTGTTATTGTAGTATTTTTATTTTTTATTATTTTTTTTTGAAAATAAAGAAGCTAATTCATTAATCATAGGCTGAAACGTAAAGATCATGGAATGGCGAAACATTCCTTACAGTCAGACAAAGAAACAACTTCCCTAACAATGCTACAGATTGTATCACAAATTTGAAACTGAATTCTTTGGAGGAACTTAAAGCTTCTTTAATGATTTGGTCAAACGTACCAAAGACTAACACTCGTTGAATAGTCTTGCACACCATTTGGGTATCTATTTTCATTTTTCTGTCCATTGACAATATCTCCATCGGGCTAAACTGCATATCATAGTTCAGAGAAGTTTCTTTTTCATTGTCATGTTTGTCACCCAGGATGAGATTCACATACGCCATGACCAGTTTTATCATTTCACGCTTTATGCAAAAGAACTCGTCAAGTAAACGAGAAGAAGAAACTCATCAAAACAACGAGAGGAAAAACACACAAACTGCAAACAAAATTAAACCAGTAAAACAAAGTAAAGGGAAACAACAGTGCGAAAATAAGGGAGTAACGATCGGTAGCGGTGGAGATGGAGGAGAAAACGGTGAAGGCGAATGCTGGCTGCGGTGGAGATAGCAGCAGGGGAAGACGATTGGACGCTGCCTCCGATCCGCTTACTTCACGGAGGCGACGATCGTGTAGAACACCAGAGATGAGAGAGAATAAGAGAAACCCTAATAGAATGAGAGAGAAAATTATCCTTTGTTTTTTTTTTTGAAAGCCGTAAGGCATATATTAACGAATGAGTGAAACTAAACAGTCAGGAGGGACATAGTCCCAATACATAGGATGATCCTGATCAAAAACAACCGTAGCTAAAGTATGCGCATGTAAATTAAGTAATCTAGAAATAACATTCAGCGAGTAAAAAGAAAAATAGGCTAAACCCGCCCTGTATTGATCCTCCACCACCCCCACATAGGATAGAATAGTTGTAGGACCAGACAGCAAGTGGCTTCGGAGTTCTGAACTCATTTCGCTCCCTTAGCCAGGATAGGACTTTCTTGCAAGCTAGCGCCTCCGCCATGAGGGGCGATAAACAACCTTCTAGTTTGCCATTTATTTCCGCTTTGAATGAGCCATCCGGGTGCAAAAGTACAACACCGTACGTTGCATCTCCCGAATGTGTCCTGTATCCTCTGTCGAAATAACATTGCGGTCGGCCCTGTAGAGTTGGCAGCGCCGGTGCCGAAGGTTGGCCGTGGGTGTGTCCTGTACCGTTTGCATGAATATAGGCTGCCAAAGCCCCAGCCGCCCGCCTCCATACACCGTTCGGCCGCGGCAGCAATCCCCTCCACATGGCGTCATTCCGGGCAGCCCACAGGTGATACAGGACTGCTACGATCTTGCCAAACTGCTCCTTTGTTAAATTTGCCATAACGCTCATTAACCACACTGGGAAAGAAGAAGCAATAACATGTGTAATAGGCAATCCCGAAATATTCCACACTTTTTTAGAGTAAACACATGAAAATAGTGTGTGCATAACATCCTCATGTAATAAGCCACACATAGGGCATGTTGGGTCCACATCTACTCTCCTTATAATCAGGTTATTCATAGTAGGGAGAATATCACATAGAGCCCTCCATAGAAAGATTTTCCATTTTGGGGGAACCTTCAATTCCATAGTGTGATCCATTTATCAAAAGTACCAGGATCGTGTACATAATCCCCAACAATCTGCCTATATGCATTCTTAACAGAATACATTCCCCTCTAGTCCATGTACCAATACCAAGTGTCCGCATAATTCGGGCTTACAGGGATCCTGGAAATACGAGCGACATCCTCTGGGTCAAATAAATCATTTAAAATATGGGGTCCCAGGTCTTTGTCTGTTGATCAATCAGTCCCACCACTCTAGTGTCCCGCAATTCCACAAGCATTATTGTTTGTACTAGAGGACTAGGATCATCTGGTAACCAGGGATGTCCCCAGATCAACGTATTTTCTTCATTTCCTACTCTTCTTCGAACCCCTGCGCAAACCATACCATGTGCCGCCATTATACTCCGCCAACAATAACTTGGGCAATTTCCAATCCTAGCATTAACAAAAGAGGTCGTCGGGTAATACCGTGCCTTATAAATTTTGGCAGCAAGAGAGGTTGGATTAGTGAGAAATCTCCATGCCTGCTTCCCCAACATAGCTAGGTTGAAAGCACGAAGATCCTTAAAACCCAAACCCCCATATTTCTTAGAGACACATAACTTATCCCACGCCTTCCAATGGATTGTTGTATCCATTCATTTCCCCCACCAATATTTGTTCATTGTTCTCTCCATATATAAACAAACTGACTCAGGTAGCAAAAAAATACTCATTGAAAAAGTAGGCATAGATTGGGCCACACTTTTCAACAGCACCTCCTTCCCAGCCTGGGACAATAACCTCTTATTCCACGAACCAATCCTCTGTCTGATTTTATCTTCCACATAGGAAAAAACTGCTCTTTTATTTCTCCCAATAAAAGATGGTAGACCCAGATACTTACCAAAATTGGGTGCTTGATCCACCCCTAAACAGCTCGCGACGACATCTCGTTCCTCCCACGCAGTATTTTTGCTGAAACAAATGTTAGATTTATGATAATTAACCATTTGCCCAGATAACTTCTCATATCTCATCAAACATTGCTTTATCACACTGGCCTCCTGAAAATTTGCCTTAAAAAACAATAAACTATCATCCGCAAAGAAGAGGTGTGATACCGGGGGGGGGGGGGGGGGGGGGGCTCCAGCTACTCTGCATCCATGTATAGATCCTGCTACCTGAGCTTTCTGTAATAGTAAAGACAATCCCTCTGTACAAATAATGAATAGATAGGGAGAGAGAGGATCACCCTGTTTGAGACCCCTTGTCGGAACTACTTGTCCCCTTGCCACGCCATTAACCACAATATTATAAGTCACAATTGTGACACACAGCATAATCAAATCAATCCATCTCCTATCAAACCCCATAACCTCCAACATCCTTTTCAAAAAAGACCATTTCATTCTGTCATACGCCTTCGCCATATCCAACTTTAAGGCCCCCCACCCAACTCTACCACACTGCTTCCTATTCAAAAAAATGACCAATCTCTGAAGCTACTAGAATATTATCCGTAATTAATCTCCCCGGAATAAAAGCACTCTGGGATTCCGAGATTAGTTCTCCCATAAGCGGTTTCATCCGGTTTGCTATCATCTTAGCCATAATTCTATACAGCACATTACTCAAAGCAATTGGTCTCATATCCCCCACCGTCTTAGGCACATTTTTCTTAGGGATTAATATCACATTTGTGTCGTTTAATCCATGTGGGAAATCCCCTTGATTAAGGGAATTTACAATAAACATAGACACATCCTGCCCTACTACATCCCAAAAATGCTGGTAGAATCCTAGGTTCATCCCATCCAGTCCTGGGGCCTTATCAGGAAACATAGAGAAAATCGTTGTTTTGACCTCCTCAGTATTAAAGGGCGCAGTAATTCAGTATTATGGGTTGGGAAAACTCGTGGGGTAAAGTCATCAAATAAAGGATCACTACATTCAGAATTACTAGAGGCAAATATTTTTTCAAAGTAATCCAAAACAATCAAATTCATGTTCTCCCCTTCCACCCACTCCCCAATATCATTCCTCAATTTGGTAATATAATTCTTCTTACGGGCAGAGGCATACCTGTGGTAAAATTTTGTATTGGCATCAGTTTCACGCAGCCAGTGTTGCTTCGCCCGTTGCCTCCAAAAAACATCCTCCTGGGCTTCCAGCTGGGACAACTGGTTATCAAGATTATGAAACTCAGCTATCGCACCTGGATCACGTCTGTGTCAAATAGCTTCCTGCCTCATTCGCAGCCTCTTTATGTTCTCCCCGAACTTGTAGAAGTGGTCACCACCCCACCGCATCAGACTATATCCACAACTTTGCTGACAATTCAGCAAACCCCCAGTCCGACCATTCTGCCATGCTGTCTCAACCACCTCCCTGCACCCCTCATCCAGCAACCAGGCCATCTCAAATCTGAAACCCCTTGGACCCCTTCCCCCTTGTATGCATGACGCATTGATATTGAGGAATAAGGCCGAGTGATCCGATTTCCGAGTCAGCATATTTAGTACTTCCGCATGTTGATTAACATCCCCCCAAGATGTCGTTGCCAACACCTTATCCAACCGTTTTTCAATCCAATCAACAGTGCCCTTAAACTTTTCCCAGGTAAACTAATAACCCCGCATAACCATCTGCGCCAAACCACATCCTTCCACTGCCTCTCCAAAACCACGTAGGAGATTATTCGGGTGCGGGTTGCCCCCCCCCCCCCCCCCCCCCCCCTTTTCTCGTGTTGATATAGAAGATCATTGAAATCCTCTATTACAACCCAAGGAAGAGAGGATTTCCCACTTAACGTCCCCAGAAGATCCCATGCTTCCCGTCTCCTATGCCGTTTTGGGAAACCATAAAAACCCGTCATGCGCCACACCTTACCCCCCCCCCCCCTCCCCCACCCGTACCTCCACATCTATATGATTATCAGAGTAGCTCAGGAGCAAATCAGTATTATTCTTCCTCCAAAGCAATGCTAAACCACCACCATGACTCTCAGTATCAACATAAAACAAGCCCTCGAAACCAAGCTTGATACGAAGGCGCTCTGCATGATCCTGTCTTACCATAGTTTCCATTAGAAAGATAAAATCTGGCTTCTTACGGGGCACCATGTCCACAATTTCCCGAACTGTCCGTGGATTGCCCAAGCCACGGCAGTTCCAACTTAGGGTACTCATTGGGTCGGGCGGGCTTGGGAACTAGCGCCCGCCTGCTGCAAGTTTTTTGAAAAATCCGTCATCACAATATCACCCCCGTCCAACCCATGTCGCACACCACCATTCCCCACCCTTTCCCGCCGACGCTTGGACACGGCTGCCGTCGGCTTTCTTTCCACCGTTTGCTGCCCCACGGCAGCGCCCTTCGCCCGTGCAATACCCCGTACTGCCGTGGCCGGCGGTAGCAACCAGCTGCCGCCAACCAGTCGCGGTCCTCGTGTTCCACCCGCCCGGAGCTCCGGGCCATATGGATACTCCTCAACCGGTACCACCGAGTCTCACGCCGCACAACAAAACTTGTAGGCATGTCCCAGCATCCCACAGAAAAAGCAGTATGTATGGAGCCGCTCATACTTGAAAGAGACCCAACATGTCGTTTTATCACGCTTCACAAATTTCATTCGGCGTTTCAGAGGCTTGTCCACCGACAATGTAACCCTAATCCGATAAAACGTTATCCATGGCTCATTCTGAAACCGGTCACCCCTCTTCACAAACACCCCCAGGTAATTCCCGATCTGTTCCTGAATCAACTCAGATGTATACCCAGTAGGCAAACCATGGATTTGGATCCACATATCAACCGTGTCTAGCTTTACATCCACGGGGGGAGTCCCATCAGGCACTTGTTTGCAAACAAACGTACTATTATCAAACGACCATGGTCCCTCATCAATGACCCTTTGCACATCCGTTTTATGATGGAAAACAAAAAGAAACAGCCCCGGTTGTATCTCAGAAGCCTGAACCCCACTCCCCGGTTGCTAAACGGATGCCATGACCTGGCTCATAAACTCAATCTTAATAAACTTCCTTGTCAAGAAACGACCAACCACCCCCACGATTCCTCCTCCGCCGGGCCGTCCTGCCCCCGGCGCTCTCCTCCACCTGGGGCACGAACGCCGCTTCCTCCTCTTCTAACACAAGGTCCGCCCATCTGGCCGTGATGCCCACCACCGCCATATGTTCCGTTGTTGATGAAGCCATGCGCTCAAAACGTGTAGCAGTTCGCACTGCCCTTCTTCTGTCCGTCCGTTCTGCTGCTCACGATAACGCCGGGAAGGCCGGAAAGAGATGTCGAAAGAGCCGACTAAAACCCTAGATAGACCTAGGTAGATTCTTTGTTATTGTAGTGATAGGGAATATCCCGACCGACATTATTTTACCCCGGCTGGTATGCCTTTGTCTTTTTCTTCTTGTCTTTGCAGGTAACAGGTCGGGCTTCTTGTGAGGAACCCGGTCGGGATCTGACCGGGAGTTGCCCGACCGATAGTGTCGACCACCGAGCGGTAGCCCTTTGGCGCGAGAGCCGGCAAAGGACACGTGGCGGTTCCTTGCGACGACAGACAGGGCACCCGGGAGGATGATACGTGGTGGCTACGTGGAGAGCATGCCGAACGACCGGATTTGTGTCTCCGGTGCAGCGGCTATAAATACCCGCAGTAGCTACAGTGTGAGGGACTTTTGGACGATCGATAGGTTGTTGTTAGAGAATCCCGACCGCAGCCAGTCGGTACTCAGAGCAACCAAGTAGATTGTACTTAGGGCCTTCACCGTGATCAATAAAGATATTTACTTGCTTTATTTGGCCTCGTGTTTGTTTAATTATTGCTTACGTAATAATTAGCAGTATCATGTAGTATTTAATTTATGGATTTGATTATTTTTTGGTTGATGTGATTATTATATTAATAGAAAATTGTATGATATTTAAATTTAAATTATTATTATATTTTATCTTAATTTATTATAGAATTTGAAAAAAAAAATTTAGGCATTTTGAATTTGAATATTTGAGTAGAATTGAATTCAAAAATAATTTTCGATTCGAGACGAAGCGCTTTAATTTTCGTTTCTGGCATGGAGATGAAGAACCTCCGGCCAGGGACGAAGAGCTCTTCGTCCCCGATCAGATACGAAGAAGGGTCTTTGTCTCCGGCAGCCTGGAGACGAAGCGGACAAAATGTTATTATTATTATTTTTTTGTTTAAATTTCTGTTATTTTAAATTATTAAAAAAATAAAAAAATATTATTTTAATATAATAACCTCCACATCAGCAAATTAACTTGTAAACATGTTACGTAGTATTTTTTATTCAATTGTATCATTTTGCGTTGTTACTCAATTACATTATTTTGCATTGTTAGATCTAGTCAGTTCAATGACTTTAATTGCAATTCGACGGCATATTGGACCCTTATTCAACAAGTTTTTAGAGTAGATTTTTGAGAATCCGAAAAGTTCCATCGGTTCGGTTTGGATCCGAACACGCCATTGACCTTTATGTTTTATCCCTCATTTATATTTTAAAAATCTCCGTGCCGAATTGATCTATGTTTGAATGGGAAGTGCGAGCATAGAAGTAGTACTATTAACAACAAAATCGAAGATCGGATATTTAGGAATCATCCATGTCTAATACGGACTTACGGAGTATCTGGTGAAGATCACATATTGAATCAGAACTGAATTTAGATTGATCGGCAACGATGTCTCTATTGAATCAGCTCTTCAACAGAGGACTTCAGGCCTCTAAGTGGTGAGTTAAATAGCATTCTTTTGTTGATTGCAATTTTTTTTTCCTCCCAAACATATCTATTCTCTGTAATTTTAGTGAAAAATACAGTCTTTATCTTTAAATTTTACTTTTTAGTTTCTATTTATACTCTGCGTACAACGCATGTCTTTATGCAATTGTAGTTTTCATTTGTGGGTTGTCAGTTTTCTGAAATGCACAAGTTTTATTTATGCAATTTGGTGCTAAATGCATCCTCTAGGAGCTGGATTATTTTTATACGTTCTTGTAGAATTTTTTTTTTTTTTAAAAACATAAATTTTGGAGTAGCCATGCTTAGTTGTTGGCTGTGTAGTTAAAATGTGATACTGATAAATAAATGGTTTTGTAGCAAAACATGTTTAACTTTGGCTGTCTCTCGCATTAAATTGCTGCAAAACAAGAGAGATGTGCAGCTTAAGCTTATGCGCAAAGAGATAGCCCAATTTCTGCAAACTGGCCAAGAAGCCATAGCTCGAATCCGGGTAGAAATTCCTTGTCACTTGTGCTTCACAATTTGTATCTTGTATCAGTGTTAGTATGATCTTGTTTAGCATTACTGAATGCCTTCATTCAGGTTGAACATGTTATACGAGAACAAAATATATGGGCTGCATATGAGATCTTGGAGATGTTTTGTGAATTTGTTCTTGCTCGTGTTCCTATTCTTGAATCCCAAAGGTTAGCCTATTTCTGACTTGAGATCGAAGAAAATGCCTTTCATTTATTTGATTTCCATTCGGATTTAAATGATTAAGCAAATCAATTACTGAATTACGCAATGTAATATATTGTTTTTAGTAGGTTTTTTAAGATAAAAATGATTGCTCCATTGCTTGAACCTAGTTTGTGCTTAGCTGTATGAGCGTTATTTATCGACCTGTTTTTATTTGTTTTTTTTTCAGTGTTAAGCTTCTGTATTCTACAGGATAAATTGATGCCTCAGACTAACATATTAACGGTGTGTTTAGTTGTTGGAGAATTGTGTTCAAGTTGAAATATTATCCAAAGTGAAAATGGAAACAAAAAATTTTAATTATCCAACTTTTTTTTTTTTTTTTTAACAAAGTTAGAAAGCAATTATATTTTGTTTTCCTAATGAAAAAACAGGTGAGCAGTTCATCTGTTTCCCTGCTTCAGTGAAAGCCAAATAACTGTGACGGAAGCATCTAGGCTTTATAAACACACAGATATATTGAGGGAGAGAGAAAGAAATGTGATGCCATAGGAGAGAAGGAGATTTGAGTGATCACTGGGTGTTGAAGCCTTAACAGCGCCATCAGTGTGTGTGTTTTTGGGTGAAGAAGTTGAATGTGGATTCAATTTTGTGGGAAAATGAGGATAGCAATTATGCAAATTTGGCGTTGAGGACAAATATTGAGGTTTCTATTATAGTTGAAGGACTAAAATTAAACTTTTCTGTTCATTTTAACTGAATATCTAATAGGAAGAACTAAAATTGATATTGTCACAATAGTCAAGGAATGGAAATTGAACATTACTTCAAAAGATAAAATAAAGATGACTAGCTCTGTATTACTTAAATGCCAATCTAGTATCACATCTTTGAATTGTTCTAGGGAGCCAGACATCACAAGACAGATCCACCGTGGATTTATAAATCTTAATAATGTAATTTACAATAATGTAAGAGTTGCATTTGAAGCCTTGTTCAGATGAAAACGGAACACTACTAGCTTCACACAGTGTTTCACTGGCCAGTTCTTCTGAACCTTTGACCACAAGTCCAATCTCTCCATTGAATTATCATTCACCTTTGGCTTTCTTTCTAGTTCAGTCTACATTTTCCTGAACCTCTAATTAATTGAAGAAAGAAACACAACATATATGAACAAACAAGGGAATTTTCCACATAAGTTCTCTAAGCTAATGACTCTTACTGAAATGCGATACACCCATAGGAAATGGACATTGAATAAAAATAATTCAGTCTATTTTGATAACTAACCAGCGCGATAAAATTACAAGGATCTAGCAAACAAATCAGACCTTGTTTCAATAATCTTGCTCTTATGAAGCATTGAAGCCCACGGTTTGGTTACTCAGTTTTGGCCCTATCATGATGTTCTATGTTACAACTTTTCATATTGTCACTACTTTATATTTGTGATGCTGTGCTTTGACTATTCGTTTTCTGGGAAACAGAGAATGCCCTTCAGAGTTGCGTGAAGCTGTGGCAAGCATAATATTTGCAGCTCCCAGGTGTTCAGATTTGCCAGACTTATTACATGTCAGGAATTTATTTGCAGCCAAGTATGGGAAGGAGTTCGTAGCTGCTGCATCTGAGCTTCGACCTGATACTAGTGTCAACCGTACAGTTAGTTCACTTCCCTGCATTATTCCATCGCCTTATGGATGTACTTTTGGGATTGCTTACTTTAAGTACTCATTTTGTTAATCTCCGAGTGTTTCAGATTGTTGAGAAACTTTCAGTTAGCACTCCATCCCCACAAGTGAAGCTCAAGTTATTGAAGGAAATTGCACGGGAGTATAATGTGGAGTGGGATTCTTCTAAGACTGAATCTGAACTTGGCAGAAAACCAGAGGACCTTTTGGTAACCTTCCTTGCTTCATTCTTGCTCTATGCCTAAGAGTTGACAGTTTCTATATTACCTTGTGAAGAATTTGACTAATATTCTGAATGATAGACATGCAAAAGTTTAAGGATTCAATCCTCATTTTGCTATTAAGATTTTTGAGTGGTTAAGAAAGTGGCTTAGTAGTTTTCATGCTTTAAGATTCTCTATCTTATATAAAATGCAAACAATAGTTGAGACATAAAGAAGTTGAGTTGTTATGCCATGTACAAGTTTTTTTTTTTTTTGAAAATATGCCATGTACAAGTTGATTCATGGATCTTCTCACTGCTTTTTATATTCAGTCATTGTTCTTTTTAAGTCAATGACTCTTCAGTGTTTCCTTATTCATGACCCAACCACGTCATGTAAAAATAATAATGAAAAACAGGGGTTAACCCCAGCCAAGTTGGTTAAGGATACAAACTTGTAACCACAAGGTCACGAGTTCAAATCCCAGCCTTCTTGGGAAAAGCTTTTATTGAGGAAAATCTTTTACAGCGATTGCTTTCAAGTTGACATCCATTTCTTATTAACTATCATCCTTGCATGCATGATGCATGTGGACATAATTCATTTGATTTGTGTGAACCGACTGGGAAACATATTTTAAGTTGATAGGATTTTATTTAGATCCTTGTTCATGAGTCATGACATCCTTAATGGTTTTTGTTTCTTATACAGAATGGACCAAAGCAAATAGCCAAAGCTTCTCAAGTTTGTGTGGAGCAAAATTCTCGACCAAGTTGTGAGAATTCCTTGCTGTCAACGAATGGTAAACAACGTCGAGAGCATGATCCTCAATCTCCAGGTTGTGTTGCCAAGTCCAAGACACGACCCTTCTTATCTGCTGATACAAATAAAGCATCTTATTATCAGGAGAACAGTGGTGAAGCAGTAAGTGATATCAGGGATACAAGATCAGCATCATCATCTAATGTATTGGAGAGAGCTGAGAATGCTATTATGGCGGCAGAGCGTGCATCAGCTGCAGCACGAGCTGCTGCAGAGTTGGTAAATGTCAAGTTTGAATCTGTGAAAGTAGAAGAGAAAATTATATAGTAGTTAAAATGCTTAACTAAATAAACCGAAAATGGAAATGAGTGTGTATGTACCCTTTTTTCAAAAGGGGAAGCTTGTGGCGAGAGTACATGAGTGGAGGTTGATGTTTGTTTTATTGTGTGAAATGGATTGGGAAGCTGGAAATGAATAAAACTCTTTAGTATAAGGAGATGTTACTCTTTAGTTTATGTAGGAATAGGAATTGAAGTGTAATCTCCCTCAGCTGGTCCGTTGAGTTTCACTGAATGTTTAAAGTGAGTATGTAGGCATTATATTTCTCTAAAAGAATTGTTGTTACTCCTGCTGCATGCAATGCGTTTCAAGTTATGGATCGGAAGAGATGATGAATTTGTGAAATGATTGATTTGTAGGATCCACTGACATGTATAATCAACTTTTAATGTGTTTGGTTGCAACTACTCCGTGATGACAGATGAGGAAGCAATGCTAGTGCTAGAAAATTAAATTATATTTGTTATTTATAATTTATAATGGGTGGCTAACTGGCTATCTACTATCTAGTGGTGTGGTGGTTGAAACAAATCACAAGTGGTTTGAGCTCTTACTGAGTTTTCAGCCTTTTCAGTGGTCCATAGTCTTTAAACCAGATAGCCCATATAATAATAATAATAATAATAATAATAATAATAATAATAATAACTTCGACCCCAAACTTTATATATATATATATATATATATATATATATATATATATATATATATGTGTGTGTGTGTGTGTGTGTGTGTGTGTGTGTGTGTTTGATAAAGATGCAACAGTGGTTAGCAGAGGAAACTAATGACACGAGTAGAGCACCTTAGACCAAAATTTAGTATACCACAAAAATATACATGGTGTAGAAATATATAAAAATATATCTCTGTTTTTTTTTTTTTTTTTTAATATTTTCATTGATTTTTAGCCGTTAATCTAAGTTCATCTAATGGTCCATATCTGTATGCACGTTGCATTTGGGGAGGCTTCCGCATGTGATATATATATATATAAACATTATGGGTGTTTGATAAAGATGTAACAGTGGTTAGCAGAGGAAACTAATGACACAAGTAAACAAGAATCAGCGCAGCAAAAAGAGAAGGTGTTGGCGATGATGAATTTTGTACCCACATTGATCTTGTGGGAATGAAGAGTCGTTTTCGCATTTTATGTGTGAGAGAACACATATTTCCACTGGTCAATGTGGATCCTTTAATTTTATTTTATTTTCTTTTCTTTTCTTTTCATCTTTATTTTGTGGCAATACAGATAAAGTATGTATTAAATTAGGCTAACCTCTTATTTTATTTTCTTTAGGAATGTGTCTTGTATCCTTATGGTCCAATGATACCAAGTTGCTCCCTTATAGGGGAGGTTGCGGGTTTACGGGAGGGAATATTGATTCTTTGGCTTTTTGTGCTTTATTTGATTGAGAAAGTAGTTATGAATAGATACTACACCGTAAAAGAGTCAGTATTATACATCTCTACTTTGTATACACAATAAATTCCTGTTCTTATATCTCTCTATGTATGTTACACGTACATTCAATTATTAGTTAGTAAATGTATGCATGATATATTCATATATAAGATAAATAGATAATTAACTTATATCAGTTTTGAGTCATATAAATTAGAAATATAAATGTGTAGAGTTTATCAACTTAATAAATGTATTGATATAAATTTAAGTAGGTATAAATAGTGTTCAGAAGAGAGAAGCTAGCAAAAAGTTACAACAACTAATTAATCTACCCTATACAGTTATTCATTAGGAGCTAAACTAGAATAAATAGAGATGGAATATGTCAGCCACATATGTTCTTAATACGTCCTCGCAAGATTGAGGATCCGTCAGAGACTCAAATCTTGAACCGGAAGAGAATAAACATGGAACGACCCAAGAGGTTGGTAAGGAAGTCAGCTAGCTGAGTGCAGCTCCGTAGGTGAGTGCATGAACTGCGAAAGACGATTGACGGCATAGGATACATCCGGTCTAGTGATGACCAGGTACTGCAACAAGCCAAGGAGACGCCAAAACTGAGTGACATCAATCGGTGCATGCAACAACTTGTCCGAGGTAGCCAGTGGTGTTGAAATAGCCTTTGCACCATCCATCTTAAATCGAACTAGAATATCAGTGACATATTGACTTTGAGTCGGAAACAGACCAGCAGGTGTTGGAACCACCTCAATGCCCAAAAAATGATGTAAGGGGCCAAGATTTTTGAGAGCAAACCGAGCTGACTGAGTGTCAACAAAGCGATTAAGCCATGCAACATCATTACCTGTTAAGATAATATCATCCACATACACCAGGAAATAAATGATGACAATATTAGCAGAATAGACAAATAAAAAAGCATCTGCTTGTGACTTCACAAAGCCACAGCGTAACAAGAACTATGAAAGCTTCAAGTACCAAGCCCTAGGCGCCTGCTTAAGGCCATATAGACCTTTAGTCAGCTTGCAAACATGGGATGGAAACGAAGGATTCACAAAACCCTGTGGCTGCTCCATGAACACCTCCTCATGCAATGTCCCATGCAGGAATGCATTATTAATATCTAACTAGCGCAAAGTCCAGCAGTTACTCAAGGCAACAGTCAAAACCACACGGATGGTCACTGATTTCATAACCAGGCTATATGTTTCAAAATAATCTCGGCGAGCAGTCTACAAGAACCCTTTAGCGACAAGTCGTGCTTTATACCGATCTACCGACGAGTCGTGCTTTATACTGATTTACCGACCCATCTGGTTTGCGCTAGACACGATAGACCCACTTGCAGCCAATCGAGATAGCTGCTCCGCGGGGAACTAATTGCCATGTTTTGTTACGTTGGAGCGCTTCAAACTCCTCATTCATAGCTTTCCTCCACCGAGCGTCTTTAAGAGCCTAGGATTAGGACGACGCTCCTGGGTAGAACGACGGAGATTATTCTGCGGTTGAGAAATTTTAGAGGTGGTGACGGGCTGAGAGTCAAACACGGATTGGCTTGCATGTTGGCCACTTTGTGGAACAGTGGGGGACGACGAACTGGACGCAGCTGACGGTGTTGGAACTGGAGTCGAAACTAGAGTTGGAACAGGTGTTAGAACTGGAGTTTGAACACCCACCAGAGCAAGTTGCGGGTAGTCAGCTACGTTAGAGAGAGACGTACCTGGAGAAGACACAAAGGTCGGTGCTGGTGATTGCGTAGCTGAAGGAATGATCTCTTCCTGTGTAGACAAAGGGGATGATTTGAACAAAATATTGCATAATTCGGAACCATGCAAATCAGATGGTGAGCTGCTAGACGCTTTCTGCAAATCGTTATAAGGAAATACATGAGACACAAATCTAACATGCCTAGATACATAAATACGATTGGAACTAGGATCCAGACATCTATAACCTGATTGAGTGTTGGAGTAGCCAAGAAAGACACATGGGCGTGACTTCGACTGTAGTTTCTTGGTGTTATAAGGGCGCAACCATGGGAAACAGAAGCAGCCAAAAGGTTGTAACTTACTATAGTTAGGCGACTGACGAAACAGGACGTAAACCGGAGACTGGTTACCTAAGACCGGTGCGGAGAGCCGATTGATGAGGTAGACGGCTGCCTGAAAGGCGTAGGTCCAGTACAAGGACGACAGGGATGCAAAGTGAAGGAGGGCCAAACCGGTTTCAATGACATGCCTGTGTCGTCGCTCTGCGATGCCATTATGCTCAGGAGTGTGTGGTGGGGGTGGTGAAATGAGAAATGCCATTGAGTGTTCAGGAACGGTATAAGTTTTATAAATTCTCCCCCATTATCTGAGTAAATAGAAATAATCAAAAAGCCAAAGAATTTTTCCACTAATTGTTTGAACTGAGTAAATATTGTAAAAACATCTGACTTATGTTTCATGGGGTATAGCCAAATGTATTTCGAAAAGTGGTCTACAAATATAAGATAATAGGAAAACTGATCAATAGAATTTCCAGTAGGCCCCCATACAATTGGTATAGATTAATTGCAGAGGTTTAGTGCTAACAAGGGTATTTTTTGCGAAGAGCAATTTATGGCTTTTATGAATATTGCAGGAAGAGCAGTAGAATTGTCGCAGAGACGACATAGAGACTGGAACATTACAGGGTTGCAACACCTTATTGGATGAATGACCAAGCTGTTGGTGCCACTAAGACAGAGAGGACAACTGCGTAGCATATACTGTTGGGTGAGAAGCAACTGGTCCATAGTATACACCATTATTGTTCACTCCCCGCAGTAGAGAAATCCCCGTTCGAAGATCCTTGACAATAAAATGAGAATCAAAAAATTTAACAGACACGTGATTAGTCTTGCATAGTTGGGAAATGGAAACCAAGTTAGTATGTAACTGAGGAACACGCAAGACATTTTCTAAGGTAAGGACAGAAGACGGAGTAGGGTTGACAGACCGGTCAGTATGTGAAATTTGAAGGGAATTACCATCACCCAAGCGAACCTCTTCAGGCTCATTGTACTCAGATAGTGTCTGCAGTGACGCGAGACTAGAGGTGGCGTGGTGCGACGCACCACTGTCAAACAATCAGGGTGGAGATGCTTGCGCGGACAGGACTGTAGGCAACGCCGTAGACGTCTGTGTAGTGAGGACGTTATGCTCTTTTAGGAACCTGGCCAGTTTGCAGCACACCTTTGTTTCATGACCTGCAAAGTTACAAAACTTGCATATAACAGTGAGTCGATTTGTTCCCCCTTGTTGCCAATTCGATCGGTTGGCTCCGTAATTGGTAGTATTGGTACGGGCATTTCGATTGGAGTTCGATTACCGATTGTTCCGAGGGAACAAAGTCTGCTTAGTGACATTAGCAGTCACCAACAAGGGCAGCGTGAACCTGTCGGCGCCAAACTGGGAAGTTGGTGGTAGTGAGTTTGATAGTGGGTGGGAGCATTTAGTTGAATGATCTCATTGGTGTTGGTAGTGGCAGTAGAAGTAGACCTGGCAATTCGTGTATACGGATTTGTTAACGGATCGACACGAACACGATAATACTAAATACGGACACGACACGTTAAGGTTAACAGGTTGAAATTCCTAACACGAACACGAACACAATTTGTAAACGAGTTGACACGATAGACACATTTTGTTAATAGGTTTCGGATCATGTCGACACGATATGACATGAAACCCGTTTAAACTCACTAACTTTTATATATATATATATATATATATATATATATATATATATATATATATATATATATATATATATATATATAATTTGAAGTAAAGTTATATATATTAAAAAAAATAAAAAATAGAACCTACAATTTAATTCATCAAACAAACTAACAAAATATCACTCTGTCTTATTATTATTATTATTA